GATATATAAATAAGGGAGAGAATTTTCCGTAATTTCAGCATTCAAGACTTTAAAACTTATGGCACAATATGTTGCAAAAATATGTTTTCCCTTTTCAAAAAATGTTTAGCCAAGTAATTATATTAAAGTATGAAATGAAATGCGATTCATATTTGAAGAGTGAAACTTGACTCTGATTGTTTGCGGAGTCAATTGAAAGTTAATGAAGCCAGCGACTGTATTTCTTTTCAAGGTCCTGTTTACTGAAAAGCTTGTTTGATAGGTTCGAGAAGTACCTATTAACAAACTATTTGTTTTACTGCGGTAGAGGTCATACAATTTCAGACGTACCAATTCTTAAAAGGCCGGCAACGCACTCGCGAGCCTTCTGGCATTGAGAGTGTACACGGACGGTGTCACTTAACATCAGATGAGCCTCCTGCCCGTTTGCCCCTGTTTTATAAATAAAAAACAATATCTTTTTTGTATTAGATTTTAAGGGTGTAGAAACATCAGAAAATCCAAAGGGATATTTTTAATTTACCTAACTTATTTATTTTATAACGCGTACAATGTATCTGCCTCGTCCGGTGTGTTTTTAGTCAGCCAAAAGTAATTGCCCATGGGAAAAGTCTACAAGTAATTATGGGACGTAATTCTTCATTATGCTTAATGAAATTATCTTTGTAGTTATTTTCACGAGTGTTTCACGAGGAAAAGAATAAAACCAGACATTCCGGACTAAACTTTTTTCCAGTTAAATTTAATCCAAATTCTTATTTAATGTGATTTATAAACAAAAATTATTTTATTAGTAAAAATGTAGTTAATTGAGCATACGAAGGGTTTAACTGACAAATGTTTTTCATGAAAATGATGATTCGCTTTTGTGTTGAAATTACCTTATTAAGTATTCTAACGATGCCTTTGTGATTAATTAAGCTTCACGAAATAAGGTTTGTTTTTGTTTTAGTTGATTGCCGAGGAATATAAAGTGCTTTTAAGTGATCTTTGAATAATTCAAAATTTCGTTTTGTAATTATTGTTAATTACAAGTCATCAATTAAACATTAGTGTACGAAGATTTATTGACAAAAACCTTAAACTAATTAATTTGTATATAGAAAATAATTTACTTTATATGAAAGCAATTTCGAATACTTCACGAATATAACAGAATATCAACACTACCTATCCCCAGCTTGATATATTCGGTAGCCTTAACTTGACTTAATGTCCTATAACCCCTAGATGGGGGCAGAGGGTGTCCACAGTGAGTAAATCACTGTATCGGTTTCTTGAATCATTGTTGGTTTTTCAGGCAAGCAGGAGATTAGCCCACTGTGACCTAGTCTGATAGTGGGGCTGCCACTTTAGAGCTTCCAGACAAGCTCGGTTGTATGCGGGTTACTGTGTTAGTGGATTCTGTTTTAAGGCGCAGAATGTTCGCCTTTTGCCATGCATCCTCAGCTCAACTGCAGCACTAGGTAGTGGGCACGCGAAAGCGTGGATGCAGCAAGTCCCACGGTGGATGACTCGGACTGGCCGGGGTTCTGCTTACACTAGTGTTCCACTAGTGGTTTATTTGGCTTTTTCTAGGCAATGCTGACCTCACTCCATCAGCGATTCTCAGCAACACCATCCCCAACTTCCCACCCTCCACTTGATATATTTGGTAGTGGGCTGATCAATTTAATAAAAATAATAGTTAAGGGCCTATCTTGTATACTTTTGTAAAATTTATGTTCATCATAATTGTCATGTATTTTAGAATAGATAGCTAATATACTGTAGAAAATGAATTATATATGATGTGGTGAACTTTAATAAATAGACCAAGCATTGGAAAATTCTAAGATTTCTAAAATTTGTAGTAATAATCAATACGACATATCAAGCTAATGTTAGTAGTATAAATTGAATATTTATGCAACGATTTTGTGTGGGTAGTAGAAGACGTACATTTATTGCCTAGTTTTTTACATATGTGGGGAAAGTTGTTAAACGTTATTGGTGAGTAATAATTTATGACTCTAAAATTATAAACTTTCGAAATTTTGATATGTATTCATCGGATTATTCTATGTATTTCTTGCGAAGGTGTCGCCATCGTGATAATTAAAGCAAAACGTGACTATATAGAGACTAACTAACATATCCATATGTTCTACTAAAATATTGTTTTAATTATTTAAAAAAAGTATTGATTGATTCTATAGGTAATTGTAGAAAAGCCATATCATATTATTAAATACGATGTCTTAAATAAAGTTTTCAATAAAACAAATAAACAACCTCACATTTCACAAGTTAACAACTCCGGAATGGTAAAAAAATAGAATCGGAAAAACTTATCCCATAATTTGTAATGTATCTGTTAATTTCTTGTTTTTTACTTTATTTTCTACTTTAATGTTTATTTTGTTAATGGTTATAGAATTGCTGAATATTATACAGTTACTAATTATGATATTTTCAATGTGTATTTTCATCTACTTTATTTGTAGAAAAAAATTTCATATACGTAAAGTAGTAAGACATTTTAACGAAAGTAAAATAGTCATTTCGTAAAAATTGGTACTAATATATAAAATATATTTATAAATAAATGTGATTATTATTTTTTGAACTGCCTCAGTACTAGATTTATTTCCAACAATAGAATGTTCCATAAAGCATCAAGTTTAAGCTGAAAATTTGTCTAAAGTATCAATATCAGTGAAATAAACACAAAAAACATGCTCCGTGTTTAAGGAACTTCACTAATTAAAATAGAATTACGATTGGAATTCAAACTGGCAAGATTAATGCGAAATTCATGCTCTAGAAACTCAAAGTTGACAAAATTGCTCTTTTAGCGGTTTTTCGGAGCGCTGACGTTGCGTTAAAATCTAGGGCGTTATGGCGTAATGAAAATGTCGTTAGGTAATTTAATGTTTCGGACCCGTCTTGGGGCGGTGAAGCCTTAGGCGCCCATTGTTATAACAAACGCGGTCCAGATTATCTTGAAATCCAATTACATAAAATTAAAAGACGGTTAAGCCGAATGTAAGACTGAGATTAGATAGAAATTGCCATATTTTTTTGGATGTACTAAAGGTTAAGGCTGTAAATTGTTATACGAATTTCTATAGAAAGGGAAAGATCTACTATGAGCAAGGTTGCTCAGGGTCACACAAAGGAAAGTTTTGTAAATAGAACCGTATACACATGTTTTACAATAATAATAATTACTGATTACGGAGTCATGAAGCCCTAAATCCGCCCATGATGATGGTAACTAGGCGCAACCAGCGTAAAATATAAGTAGGAATTTTCAGAAGACTAGTATTTTCATAGTTACTTGTATATACAGTAACAAGAAAAGATATTTATTTCTAATAGTGACGCTCAATTACGTAATTCATGTTAATAAAAATAAATATTCTTTAGTGTGTGCACGGTTCCTGGATCACCGGGGTGCTTTAAATAATAGAGGATTTAATTTTTACTCTATATTAACCACTCGCGTACAACAATAGAATATATGCGAAATAATGAAATGTCAATGAAACGAATAAATACAATGTAACCGTTAAAGAAAGTGCCTGCGTCTGGCTATACTCTCGGGGCGTATTTCCGACTATTTAGGAAATCGCTACGCTTATTAAACTAAGAAAGCCTGAGTGAGCAAAATGTACAGCCTTGGCTCGTACACAGTGTATAATTATAAGTAATTGCAATTGAATGTTCTGAGTCAAAACGTTATCAATGATGTCAATATTGATAACAGGTGTTATCTGTTTGCTTTAAAATTTTCTGATTATTAGATTAAAAGTTTTTGAGTAATTGAGAGTTATTTAGGGAGAGCATACATTAAGGCTCCCACACAAAACTGCGAATTCGCATCGCATCGCATATATCTGCGAATTCGCACGAACGCAACGCAAGAATTTCCGATCTGTTTCGCATCGCACATTCCTGCGATATTACGTCATCCTTGGTGACACCATTTTAGTCCGCTCTGAGACAGCTTTAGAGAAAAATGGCGGAATATGATATAGATTTTTTAATATCTTTAATTGAGGAGCGTCCCGTCCTTTGGGACACAAGTGATGAACATTATAAAAATAAATTTATTAAGCAAAATGCGTGGAAGAACGTCTGTCCAAGACAAAGAAAACAGTGAAAAAACAAAACTTGGTAAGTACTTTAATTTCTACAACAATACAATCAATGCATATAAGTATGAATTAAATAGCGTGCGCGCGTGTAAGATGGCTTCCAGAATCTGGCGCGCTATTCGTACTTCTATGAATAAATGTAATTCAGTGCAATAAAGTGTGCAGTACGACAAGGTAAATAATGAGCATCGACTAATGTCGTGTTTCTGACCTATTAAATAGTTCCCATCAGAGTTCATAATCGTAATGAATGGATGAACCCAGAATCTTCTTTTTCTTTTATATCTATTTAACAATAACAGCAGTGCAATAATCTTTTTGCGATCCATCTTACGCTTCTTAAAAACACGTTCAGTACGGCTGACTTCGAAGGAATGGTCGCCCTACCAAACGGTTTGACGCACTAAATCGTATCGTAGAAATTAGCATCGCAGTTTTGTGTGGGAACCCTTAGTTCAGCATATATCCTATCGGAACAATAAAATATGTACCTATCCATGGATAGAACTTGCTTTTTAATATTATTAAAATTTAGTTGCTTATATTGTTCTTTAGATAATGACAAACAATACAGTGGAGCTACAACCCTATATGGGATTTGGTATCAGATTTCATCCGTTTCTTTGATCATTTTACTTTTTATAGACAAGTAGATGGCCTTATGCGCCTGACACATGTCGTTTTTGGGTTTTAAAACATGCCGGTTTCCTCTCCGAGCGTTATTGCACCCTTAGAAATCAATTGGTGCACTTCAGAGTTCGTGACTCAGAAGAAATCGCACAACCAACAACAACAACACAAGTGTGATTATTGCTGCACACTCTTTCGAGAGGGGTAAACTTGGCCCGTTCGGGGCATATGCCCTTAGAGTGGTGTTTCGGTGTGCGCGTCCTGCTGATACGGAGCGGTGCTGGCGCGGGCTCTGTAGCCCTTGGTGGAGGCTGCAGCACGCGAGGAGACATGGGCTCTCCTCGCTGCGCGCAGCCGAGGTTGGGGTCATGTCCGGGGTGTCAATCCGGTGGCGAGGGGCCAAGGAGTAACCTCGACTTGGCCCTGGTGTCATAGTCTGTGGTAGCTGGCCGATTCGCAGCCAGATACTAGGCCAACACTGCTCTGTTCTTTATATATTTGTATGTTGCTTCGATGGAACTGGCTAATCTCAGGAAGTAATAGTTCTAATGAAATATTATATTTATGATGGATATTCCATGTATCAAAAGTATATCGACTGAATTAATGTGAATGAACTACGGGTATACTTACGTAATTAAAGATACTATTAATGGACGATAATAAATTTATAAAAAAAAATACGACTTCTTTTGATTGTATTGTATTACCAAGAGAATTAAATATAATCTCTAATATATAAAATTCTCGTGTCACAATGTTTTTTTCCCTTTTTCTTCGAACACAGCTTTGACCGATTCTTATGAAATTTTTTATGCATATTCGATAATCTCTTTTTCATCGGGGATTTTTTCAAACCCCTAAGTGATAAGGAGTGTCAACCCCAAAACATTTATTTTCTTATTTTTTTGACGGGTCAGCTAGTATAAATATATAACATGCCTATAAACAAAATAACACGTCGAATTTTTTTTTTTAATTACATTAAAATAAGTAATAAGTTCGGATAAGGCAATGGCTTTTATAAGTCTCATATGTATTATTCAAACATGATTGTGTGACGTCAATTGACTCATATCCTAGCCGGACATAATGAGAAGATTTATTACTTCCATATAAGTAGAAACTCTATAGTATAGTAGTTTATAGTACGTGGGTACTCTTGAGACTTACTTGGACGGTTTTATAAGAAAAAAATTGGCCTCCTGTATCTTCAAACGGCGTTTTTGTATGTAACTTCGAGGTAGTCTCAATATCCGTAGCGCTGATGACGCAACTTTGCGAGCGTGCTGAACAAAAACTCATAATGTAGATTACTGTTGGAAGTTACAGGATAATTGACATGCAAACAAGAATAAATCCTTTATCCATAAATTTAGTATGATATTATTAGAAATACAGTGTAGACTCTTTATAACGAATTTTAAGGGATTGAGCATTTTCTTTCGTTATAGAGAGATTTCGTTATAGGTAGTGAATAGGAAAAAAAAACAGTTACAATAATTTCTAATTTTATTACTATCAATAGGTAAATTATTCTAAACACATAACGCTTTTCATTTACTGGCCATCTTGATTCAATGTATGGGTTTTGTGTTAAACCAAAGAAATGTAACTATTATAACGTTATAACGAATGACGTTATTAAGACTACACTGTATAACAATTGAACACAAGTTTATTTATGTGGCAACATTGGTTCAATAGTTTTCAAGATTCGTTTCACAATTGTATTTGTTTTCTCGACTTGGAGTTATAAGTTTCCAGTTTTAGGTAAACATTTCTAAGTGAGAATTTACAAAGTGACCGCATCGTTGCTATGTAATGAGTTCGTTTGATTGATTTAAGAACAAGCTTTGCGAACTAGCGAACTGTGGAATCGACTCCCGGGGGGGTCTTCCCTCAGAGATACGACCTCCAAATGTTTAAAAAGCGAGTCTACTCCTCCCTCAAAAGCCGGCAAAGCACCCACTAAAAATGGGTGTCTATGGGCTGCGTAGACTGCCCTTTTTGGTCCCGCAAGCTCGTTTGCCCCCCTATTATATAAAAAAAATAGATTAGTATTGGCTACTACACTTTGAAAGTTAGTTATATTAACTTTAACTTTTTTTTATTTCTTCGTGTTTGCCTATAAGTGTATTTTTCTTGTATCTATATATTAGTGTGCCGAGCGTTGGCAAGCTTTTATAAGTTAATAAATCACTTATAATCCTTATGTAATATTTAGACTAGGCTTACAGCCAGTTTTTTGTTAAGATTCTTCAACTGATATATAAACGCTATCATCAACTTTATGAACATATCGTAACATCTTGAATTTCTTTACAGTAACCGTAGTCGCGAAACTGCTGTTGAGCTTTTAAATATGTACTGATTCGTACACACTAAATCAGTATAATAGCACCGTTTTTAACTACTCTTTTGTTTCTTTTCGTCGTGTTTTTGTAAAGCTAATATTAAGGTTTCAACTGCTCTATACTACCCAAAAAAGCATTAATTGGGCTATAAATTTCGTTCTTTCAGTCTTCTCTTATTTAGCTCTCATTCTCACACTGCTGTAATAGAACTTTGTATTTACGTCTACTATATATATTTTTTTCTCTATATCTTTATATATATAATTCTTCTGTGAGTGTGTATGTCACTGAACTTCTCTCAAACGACTGGACCGATTTTGATGAATTTTTTTGTGTGTGTTCAAGGGGATCTGGGAATGGTTTAGATTCACAAATCAGCCCGGCAGATGGCGCTGCATTCGTCATCTAGGTTACTTACCTATATACAGAAAATAAACAGCTGGTATATATGTTACTGTAAAAGTTCGAACTACGGTTAATCTTAAGATTTAAGTGTAAGTCTTAGGATTTACCGACATGAGTTGGTAAATGTAAGTATTTCTGAAAATACGACGATTTTTTCGAGCTTTTACCATTCGAATTCAGTATATGCTAGGTTTTACCACTGTCAGCTGGTAGATGTTGGTTTTAGGAATAAAACAATGTGTAATTCTTAATTATTTAGTTTAATGAACTATTAGACAAAACAGGTACATAGTATTATAAAGGTATCATATGATAGTAATAAGTACAAACTAATACCAACTTATTTAAATTATTTTGAAAAACACATAACGTATATCTCTGAATATTTCAATCTCTATCATATCTGTCTAACTGAATCAGTAGTTCTCTATTTGGAATTTAACAACGAAATACAAACATAATGCTTAGATAAGCTAGTCTAACTTATTAATTGTTTTTGTTTTTCAACATTTACCGTGGCGTTAATGTAAATCCTAAGATTTACCAACGAAATGGTGGTAAGAGTTCAAATCGCAAACCTTTTGGGACATTTACCATTAGGAATTGGGAGATCTTAGGTTTTACTGGAATATCTTAGGATTTACTGCAGTTCGAGCTTTTACAGTAACATATATATTAATCTTCTGTGTATGTGTTAGTAATTAAATTCCTAAACGGCTGGACCGACTTTGAAATTTTATGTTACATTATTAGACGTGTGTATAGGACAACATCTGTCGGATCCGCTAGTTTAATATAATGTAATAACGATGTCTTTTTTTTCAGATCTGCATATGACACAGTGAAACAATCCAGGGTGGCCATCAAGAAGATTTCACCATTCGAACATCAGACTTACTGCCAAAGAACTTTAAGAGAAATCAAAATTCTTACTAGGTTCAAACATGAAAACGTTAGTATTTTTAACTAATAGTAACTTATGAAACCAGTGCCGTATGTTGGCCTAGTGGCTTCAGCATGCGACTCTCATCAATAGACTTTCTATGTGCGCATTTAACATTCGCTCGAACGGTGAAGGAAAACATCGTGAGGAAATCGGATTGCCTTAGACCCAAAAAGTCGACGGCGTGTGTCAGGCACAGGAGACTGATCACCTATTGCCTATTAGACTTATAAAACCAGTGGTTTGGCTTGGCTCCAAATTTTTGTTTCTTGATATTTTTTTTCTTAAAAGGTCAGCTTATTAGTTTTCTGAGTCTGACGCCACACAGTTTTGGGTTGGATATTTTCTTTTACAATACAAGCGAATGTAAATTACCTACAGAGAAATAAAAGTAGGTACATTGGTGCACAGTACAGCGTTCATAAAAACTACTTTGGGGTTGAGAGTCACTTAAGCTACAAAGCTAACAGTAATAATAAATAATCTAAATAATTAGTCGTTAAAATATTTTTCTATACGTACATATACGCAATATAATAAATGTACATAAGTCGAGTGAAGAAGAGTGTTTTATAACAGCAAGAAATTATTGTTCCGTTTAAGACGTATTACCTCAACGGTCGGCAACGCACTCAAAATTGCATGCACGACACTTTAGCACTTTTAAATCGCGTCATCTGCCTGTATGTTTGCCCATGTTTTACAGAAAAAATGACTGGGACTATTAAACTCAACTGTCAATCATAAGCTTTTTTATTAATCTTAGCACTCAGATAGTGAGATATATAATAAATAGGTTGGGGAAGTTTCTTCGCAATTTTTAAGAAAATTCAAAACATTTTTTAATATAGTTTATTTACATTTAACTAAAGTATGTAGGTACCATTTTGTTCGATAACTTTTTGCCATCATTTAGGCAGAGACATGATCCCATTGCTATATAAATTTTGGGGCTTCTGATCAAAATACCGCGACAATTGGTTTTGGCAGTCCTCTTGTGATGTTAACCTGACACTGCCTAAAGAATTCTGAAGAGACTGAAACAGGTGGAAATCTGAAGGTGCAAGGTCAGGACTATACGTCGGATGCATTAACACCTCCCAGCCAAGCTCTCTTATTTTTTGCTGAGTGGCTAAAGATGTGTGAGGTCTAGCGTTATCATGATGAGAAACCACATCCCTTCTGGTGATTAATTCCAGCTGCTTTCTCTCAACTCCTTGCTTTAATCTCATCAGTTGTTCGCAGTAGAGTTCAGAATCGATGGTTCTGCCTAGTGGTAACAGCTCATAATGAATAATGCCCTTCCAATCCCAACACACACACAGCATCACCTTGTTGCGAGTTATCCCGGGTTTCGCCACAGTCTGTGAAGCCTGACCGGCCTTTGACCACGAACTTTTTCGCACGTTCTTGTCGTACGTGATCCACTTTTCATCATCAGTTATCTTCAATACACTCAAACAACTTGAAATAGTATGTCTAGCGCAAGAACTCATCAGTACCAATCTAGTGGATATTATGAAAAAGACACGGGATGTAGATTTTTTCGAATTTTAACAATAATTAGTAAAAAACAAGTCAATTTTCTTATAAAACACAAAATAAATTATAACTCTGCAGGGGTTGAGCTTAGAGACCTCCCGTAGAAATTTTTTTTGCAGCTGATGACCTCATCTATCCCCTATTTGCGTTTGATCCACGACTTTTTGGCCACCCTGTATACTTATTATGTGCTAAGCTGTAATCAAATAGATAATACAAATATAAAGGGTATAGATTTAATTCGTCAGTAAATCCTGAAGGAGTATTAATATCAATTTTTCGAAGACCTGTCTGAACTCTACATTAAAAGGGCCTCATATGTTTAAAAATTTAATTTAGTTCATATGTATTTGTTTCAGATAATCGATATTCGAGATATACTAAGAGCAGAGACAATTGACCAAATGAAGGACGTCTACATCGTCCAGTGTTTAATGGAGACGGATTTATACAAATTATTAAAAACACAGGTAAGATTAAACTGATGTCTATGTAGACGACTCATTGGTCTAGTGGTTAGTACCCCTGACTGCGAATCCATGGGTCCCGGGTTCGATCCCCGGCTGAGACGAACATCGATGTGATGAGCATTTGGTGTTGTGCTTATAATATGTATGTATATCCGTTGCCTAGTACCCCATAACAAAAGCATCACCAGCTTAGCATGGGACTAGGTCAATTGGTGTGAATTAAGAAAACAAAGGACAAATTTTACAAATAGCCAGCAAATATGTTGAAAGATCGCCTCTATATTGGAATTTGTATGAATTTTAAAACAAATTCTGGATTCATTATGATGTATTGTAATTTTTGTCTTTTCGGCCTACGCTATGTTGACTATGGCAGAAGCATTTTTAAATAAAAAAAACTAACGCTACGAGCTCTAGTTCCTACTTATTATACAAATAAGTGCCTGACACTCACTGGCGATTTTAGGTCTAATGCCTTCACCGTCGAGCGATGGTCCTACGCATTGAACGAAAAATTTATTAGCGCAGATTCGAACGCTCGCCCAAGCCACTAGCCCAACACTGCACTTGAAATGAAAAATATATTAATAGTCAAAACTTTGAACTTCCCCAGAGACTTCTCTAACACAATATTGACAGACAAGTGTTGTTACAGAAACTAAGCAACGACCACATCTGTTACTTCCTGTACCAAATACTGCGAGGGTTGAAGTATATACACTCGGCGAACGTGCTGCACAGGGATCTTAAGCCTTCCAACCTCTTGCTTAATACGACCTGTGATTTAAAGGTATGCCTAGCGGTATTTGTTATAGAACAAAGGACCAAAGAATCTAATATATAAAACTGTCGTTAAACGTAAATTAATCAAAGCCATTATAAATTTGACGATTATTTATTTATTTTATTTATTTGCTCAACGGTATTCCTACAGCTACTTATTGAACAATATTCAAACAATTACACTGTACACAAAGACCAAAAACGGAATACACATTTAAACCTACACAAAGCACAGTTTCACCTATACAAATAAAAAAATACAAAGAATATAATATGTATTTATAATAAATTCTAAGTTCTAAGATCTAAGATTCATTGTTAATTATAATATATAATTAATACAAAGGAAGAATTTTTAAGTTATTTAAGTTTTATTATTTAAATGATCCTAATCCGTGAAATTGATTTGCTCCAGTTCAAACAATTTATATGACTCAAAACTTATCGATTAAAAAGAGTGGCGGGGAGTTTCTTGTCGGTTCTTCTGCCCGCTTTACGCCATTGAATTGAATAGGCCTGATGACCTGTAACACAGATACTCTTACCTTTCCAGGCATCAATCTCACACAAACTAGCATTTTCCCTAAATAGAACAAAGACAATTATTTGTTTATAATAATATATAACTGTCACTTGTTTATGTACGAAGTTATTGTGAGAAAATGAATAAAGATTATTGTTATTATTATTGAATTGCGAACTGGTAGTAAATGTTAATTTAGAATCAATTTTACATCTTATCTGTTGACGTTCATAAGTGTACTTGTTTACTTATATAAATAAAGTTATTTTGTATTTAACTTTGTGTTTATGTGGCCATGGACCTGACGGGAGACTATGTTGCCGACTTCGTTACATTAGTTATTTTCTTCTAAAGAGAAACAATTCCGTCATACTTGATTTTTGTTTGAGAGTAAAACGTACGTATACATCGCGCTTTATTTCTTTATTACGAAGATTCATTATTGTGTGTAAAATAATGCTTTTGGCATACGCCCGTTGACTGCTTTAAGCTCCTTGTTGATCTACTTTTACGTATCTTGTAATATTCCTTGATATCCGAATTCTTAAAATAAATAAACAAAGATTGCTGTAATACCAACAAACCACCTTGGTGCGTGCTATGTTTTGAAATAGTCGTCGCTTCTATTATTTTATTAATCCGAACGGGACCTAACGCACTTAGCGTCTATTGGTATAGAAATTTGTATTCAATTATTCTGTTTATATTACATAAAGTGGTTGAATTATAGGCTCACCCAATCTTATTATTTATTTAATAATAAATTAACGAGATGGGATCTAGGGGAAATACATTTATTGACTCTATTTTTATGTATTAGCTACACATACGTACATATTTATATGTTAAAGAAGTAGTTGTATAGAAAACATATGTTGGTGGGCAACGCGAGTGCGGCCACAGATAAAAAAAGTAAATAATGTCATAGACTTTAAATTCCTGGCATCCTAGCAAAAATGCAACGTCCTTGGTGATTTTAACAGACTGAAGGGTTCTTCTCAAGTTCTTGTCCATAGATACAAATCTAAAAATGGTTTTGTAATAAATTAATAATTAAACGTGGAACTGATACTTCATCGTAAATAATACTTCATTATTATTGAGGTATTATGTTATAATGATTATGTTTAAATTTTGATATTCTGTATTTACAGTACGCTATTACGGTACTTTTGACATTCGTAATTCAAATATTACGACTACATTTGAAAAATAAAAAGCTTCAATTTCAGCGTAGACATTCTGAAATTTAATTCGAAAATAACGATAGCGAATCGTTGACGACTCCACTTAACCTCGCGCCCTAACGAGAGATGTTTTAACGATGCATAATATTCGCAATATTTTATGGAAATTTATTTAAATAGTTAAGGCTTGGCACGCGATAGTGTGTATGGCTCTACGGCCCAAAAATATTTAATTAAGTTGGCGTTTTAATAAGCAATCGGATTGACAGCTAATCAATAGCTACTTACCCCCTAATAAATACAGTAGTTTTAGAATAGTATGTAATTCTCTCTTATTTTACTATTTTTACGTATTTCTAAATACTATAAGGGTCGCAGATACCCAGAAGTCGTTTTGTAGTTTAATATATATATATGTATATTTATTTAGTGGAAAAGCTTCACACATGAACGTATTATAGAAAAGCAAAAAAAACATGCATCGAATTACTCTAGTCCTTTAATTTGGCAGGAATTTCGTTCGTTCAAAATTTGAATTTTCTATGCCCTAGGCAAGTTAACTGACCCCGTAATCTGTAGACTGGTTCCAAAAAAAACGAACTTTTTTTTAAATAAAGCCAACAGACTCTTAACTTTCATATTTAAATAAATATTGCTCTATACAATCCCTATGACCTTCACGTCCGTCGTTCCACAACTGAGCGATTCTTAAGGCAATTTCTGCCGCGCACCACCACTATGTGGAACCAGCTGCCCACTGAAGTATTTCCGAACCAATTCGACTTAGGGTCCTTCAAGAAAAGAGCGTTCCAATTCTTAAAAGGCCGGCAGCGTGCTTGCGAGCCTTCTGGCAGTGCGAGTGTCCATGAGCGGAAGTAATACTTAACACCAGGTGAGCCTCTTGCCCGTCTGCCTCCTGTAACACAAAAAAAAACATAATAGCCATCCGCGGACCCCGGAACTGATCGAATCGCTACTGCAAATCCTTGAAATGGGCGGGTCACTGACCTCTTTAACAGTCTCGACCAATGGCATCTATATGCACTCAGGTCTTATAGTAACGGGTGGCGCAAAAGTAATGGCACTAAATAAAATTTGTTTATTTTTTTTTATATGACGATAGTTTACATTCTGTTGTTGAAAATTGTGTAGTGAACAAATGTAAAATACACTAAAAATAAACATGGACCGTTTTACTCCCCAAGAATGTGGAATAATCGTGTCGTTCTTACGGAATAATTCATCAGTGATAAAAACACAACGTGTATTTCGTCGACGATTTCATGCAAGATCACTCGATCTGACGAGTCCAGACTTCTTTCTTTGGGTTTTTTTTTTAAATCTCGGGTGTATGTGAACAAGCCACAGACTCTCGCAGCTCTAAAAGAAAACATTCATCAAGAAATAAGGAACATATCGCAGGAAGTATTACGGCAAGTTATGCAAAATGTCATAAATAGGGTTCAATGTGCATCAACTCTGGAGGTCACCGTTTAAAAGACATCATCTTTAAATCCTAATGGTACGAAATTTAATGGCACAAATAAACATTTAAAAAAACCTAAATCTAGTTTTCTAATTTAGAAAAAATATTATAGTTGAACCAAGTAGGGTCTTTACTTTTGCCCAGTACCTAACCCAGTATAAAATAAAAAAAAACTAAATAAAACGTCTATTTCTTCAACTATTACACTTAAAAATTCGAAGAAAATGTGGCTAGTTAAAATAAAAGAGCTTCATTCTTTTGCTGGACTACATCCTTAGTTGTAAGGACCTCTTCATGAGTAAATGCCTCCTCCAGACCACTCCATTTTTCCCTTGCCTTCGTCAAGTCCAAGTTTTTGTCCAAGTGGCATCGTTGCGTCGAATTGTGTATTTTTTTTCTTCGTTTGGCGTTACTTTTCTATTAACCTTTAAGTATACTATGGTAGGGGAGCCCAAGAGGGGATTTCGGGATTTACTAAAGCGCGGCAGATTACTATATAGGGGGATACCTTGTACCCGGTTAAGTACCTCCACAAAATATGAGGCCCATATATAAGGCCGCGCGTGAAGGAGACAGGATCAGATTAGTAAAAAAAAATTGACCATCAGAAATTCCCGAGCGCGTCAGATTAAGGTAGGGTGAGTTAATTACATCCTAAAAGTGTATATTCCACTAATCTGACAATTTGAGAGTGACGGAAAAAAGGGGAGGGCAACAAAGTTGTAAAAAAAACGTCATCTCGACATTCTCGAGCGTAGCTAATTTTTCTTTTATTTTGAAGGAAATAATTCCAGAATAATGAAAAATATATAATCTGACGATTTCCGCAAGCCGAAATAACAAAAATTCGTCGATAAAGTTAAATGCGTGCAGCTGCGTGATGCCTACATTTCCTTAAACCGATCGGAATCTACTAAACGGCGTTCAAAATATTTCCCTCAAAATTACATTTCCTGTGAATTTGAACCGATTCGGACCGATAGATTTTGAGAAATTTTGAAAAATCTTAAAAAAATAAGAAATATTTTTTTTTAAGTGGTTTCTTTATCGATCAACTTCAAAAACTAATCCGCCTTTGAGCTTGAAAAACCACGTCGATCGCCACCAAGCTGGTCAAAAGTGGTTGATTCGTTCGAGAGATATCGTACATGAAAGAAACCCGAAAAAGTGTTTTTTCGGGATTACTCCGAAATTTGTGGTTCGATCAATTAAAATTGCAAAATTACTTATGAGAATGATAAAACTGCGTCGAATGCCGCCAACCGCGTGAAAATTGCTTGATCCATTCAAAAGTTATTGCGGTTTGAAAATTCCAAAAATAGTGTTCTATGAAACTTCTATCAGACTTTCGAGCTGGGAGAGCTCAAATGCATAGAAATGTTATTTCTTTGAACTCAGCGAGCTCAAAATATCAATTTTAAGCGCCCAGGAATGGAATTAGCGGGAAGTTGCAGGGATGGCCCTTTAGGTGAACCGTTTTTCTATTTTTTTTTTGTCAGATCAGGCGAATCCCTCTAGGTAATCGTCAGATTATGAGACAGTACGTTTAGAACATAAAGATGAACCACATATATCTTAATCTGACGCGCTTGAGTATTTCAAAATTGCGATTTTTTTTGCAAATTAAGAAAATGGCTGTGGGTTTGCGTCCCATCGAAATCGTCAGATTAGTGAATGAGAGATTTTTTTTGGTGCACTTAACACTCCCTTAGAAAATCTGACGCGCTCGATAAATTTTTTTTTTTTAATTTTCAACCCTTAAATACAACCACCCGCATCATGCAAACGATCAGATTAACATACGTACATTATTAAAAATACGTAGGGCATAGATGCTATCAATATCTGACGCGCTCGAGGATGTCCATGCAACAGTTTTTTTTACATATTTAACTATCTATAGCCGCTTCCCCCACCGATGAAAAGGAATTTATCATATAACATTTTTTTCTTCTTTTTATCTAAGCTTTGTATCCCAATAGGTCTCTACGACGCTCGAGTAAATCCCCATTTAGCATCGTGGGCTCCCCTACCACTATGTTCTATAGCTCTTTGACACGTTCCTATTTTTGTATTTGAATTACAAATCCCAGTTTGGTTTCCAAAAGATTTACATGGTAGGAGACAGAAATCTAAGGCTTCCTTCTTAAGTTAATACTACTTGGACTTTAGTACTTCCTTGTATTTTCACAACTTTTTCCAGGTTAAAACCACGCGCTTATTTACTTCGTCACAATGCTTTGAGCTTATACATGAGATTTGTTTGCCTAGATATTATTGTACATAATCCAAAATCTGACTTTTATCTTCTATCAGTTTTTCTACATGATTTGTCATACTTTTAGTTTTGATTGTGTTATGCCTATATCATTACGAACATTGCAAAGGTCGTAGATTATTTCCTCTGGCTGTGCAGTGTCCGAATACAATACCATCAGCAAATCTTAAGTTGCGCATCTAACTGTGGCTAATTCCATTTAAACCTTTTTTGAACTAGAAGAACCATAATAAAAAGCGTTGGTGATAAAGGGTTGCCCTGTCGTTTTCACCTACATACATTATTTTAAGTCTATTGTTTTTATAAGCAGTACTTCACACAGAAAAAACTTTTTAACCGGATTAAAGTTATGTATTATTATAAATTTACAATTATTTAACATAATTTTAAATTTATCCGTATCTATTTCCCCGGAGTTGGTATCGACTAAAAGATGGAGGGTTTTGGCAAAAATTTCTCACGGTGTCCTCTTTTTTCGCGGATTGTTTTTCTTGAGGTTTTAATTTGGTTTATACAGAGAAAAATTCACAGAGAAACCTAAAAAGTTTTTATAAACTGAACATTCTCTGGGGTAACATAGCAAAATGTTCCATGCTGGTACGAGGGGAGGTCCAAAAGTTCGTGGAATGGAGGGGATGGAGTGGGGATAGGGGCGCTCGCTTAGTGTCATACTAATTGGTGACTCATCATTAGTATATAAATGGAGTTTCAGCCCTATTGCGTCATTCGTTTACGAACACTCGCCTGCTAAACACGTCAATCCGGAAGAAAACTGAAACTATGGAGAAAATTGAACACCGTGCTGTCATTAAATTCCTTACCAAGCAAGGAAAGAACGCTCAGACCATTTTGAATGAAATGGAAACTGTTTACGGGGAACAGTGCCCTAGTAAATCAATGATTTACAAATGGCATGGTCTTTTTAAACATGGTCGGGAGTCGATTGAAGACGACCCCCGCTCAGGAAGGCCAGTTGAGGCCACCACATCAGACATCGTCGAAAAAGTAGAAAAAATTGTACTGGAGGACACCCGTTTGAAGAAAAAACAGTTATCTGCATTAGTTGGAGTATCAGATACCACAATTTTGCGAATCCTACATGACCACCTGGGTATGACAAAAGTCAGTGCAAGATGGGTACCGAGAATGCTCACGCCGCTTCTAAAACAGCAGCGCATCGAAGCGTCAAAACATTTTTTGGAGTTGTGTAGCGACGATCCTGGATCGATTTTGGAGCGAATTGTTACCGGCGATGAAACATGGGTTCATCACTTCGAGCCTGAGTCCAAACAAGAGTCCATGCAATGGCATAAAAAGGGGACACCACCGCCAAAGAAATTCAAAGTGTCGGAGTCGGCTGGAAAGTTGATGGCTACTGTTTTTTGGGATTGTGAGGGGATAATACTGATTGATTATAAAGAAAAGGGCAGGACCATAACCGGAGAATACTACGCAACAATACTAGAAAAATTAAAGGATGCCATCAAAGAAAAACGTCGGGGAAAATTGACCAAGGCTGTGTTGCTCTTGCAAGACAACGCGCCGGTTCACAAGAGCAAAGTTGCAATGGCTGCTCTACACACGCATGGCTTCGAATCACTAGTCCACCCACCCTATAGTCCAGATCTGGCCCCAAGTGATTTTTATTTGTTCCCCAATTTAAAAAAAGACTTAAGGGGAAGGAAATTTTCCGACGACAATGAGGTAAAGGAGGCAATTTTGGCTCATTTTGAGGGAAAAGATAAAAAAATATTTTTACGATGGTTTAGAAAAATTAATTCATAGATCTAATAAATGTATTCAGCTTAAGGGTGATTATATTGAAAAGGAAAAATAAATTTACTGTTTCATTTTTACTAAAACCCTTTCATTCCACGAACTTTTGGACCTCCCCTCGTATGTACTAAAAAGGTATGCTAAGTAAAATCACATTAAGGAGAAACAAAGTTCCTAGTAATTAAATAAGATTTAGTTTATTCTATTTGAGTAAATCCAATTTGACTAAATGATCTCATTAAAATATTGTTAGAAATGGTGTAAGTAACAATCTCCCGAGTATCAAGGCCTCATTTGGAATATTATCCGGACCGCAGCTTTTCTAAAACGACAAAATATACTTTTATTAATCGAACTACAATACGAGTAACACAAATAGTACTTACAGTTACACGTGTATGCATATATCAGAATTAGTTTCGGGGATTTTGTAGCGAGAGGCGTCTCTTTGTTTTAATTAATGCATAATTAATTAGCTAATCCATAGAATAATGTCTGTTTAATCATCTATTCCAAGGTAGAGAGTGAAAGACATGTGACTTAACTCTGGGTCGGAATTAATTTTCAGCGATTGTATATTACATTCATTATTAAATTCTTAAATTTTCGATGATAATTCACTCGTATATATTATCTATACCATGGAAAAATCGCATTTTTATCAAACTAATCGGTATTTAATTTTACTCCGAACAATTCTTTCAACTTCGAACTCGCAAGCCCTCTGGCATCGAGAGTGTCCATGGGCGGGGCGGTATCACTTAACATTAGATGGGCTTCCTTCCCGTTTGCCCCTGTTCTATATAAATTTTATACCTACTAAAAAGTTTTTTTATAGTATACAATTTTCTTTCAGTCGAGTTTTTCATTTAGTGTTAGTGTTAAAATGTGTGCTGCGGCTTGGTGAAGCTGGTTTATTTAATGCGTGGGTTCTTAGCAACAAATAAACGCCATTTCTTTGTGAAATTTTCAAAGATCTTATCATTGTTAGACATTAAATAACATTCGTATACCTACCTAAGAAATATAATATTTTGGGGAATGCTTTTATAAGAGCGTCTTTAGGCAAATGTTGGTTCATTTTCATCAGCCGAACGAATCTTTTGATTGCTATTTGTGAATAGAAAATGAATTTTCATACTTTGCTTTCTTTTGTATGCCCGTCAACGGCATTGAATTTTTTTTTATATTTGTACGTTAGTAGGTTTAATGAGCCTTTTTAACCTTTATATTTGAAGGTTACGGGTTACTTTTAGTTTAAACCCGGAATACCTGATTCTTCATTAAAGAAAAGCCTTAAATAGGCATTGAATATTTTCTTAGTCACACTAATGTAAAAATTATGAACAAGGCTCGAAGGACCTAATTATAACAAATAAATATTATTTAAATGCACATGGTATAGACAAGAGGTCCTGGGTTCGATTCCTGACGAAAGGATAACTCTATGTTTGAAAACTTATATTACTTCTGAGAAAACATAAACTAATAACATATATTATCTATGACAAATGTGGAATTTTGTATGACAATTACGCAATGTTTGACAAAGTACGTGGTTATATTGTACCTGCTTAAGATATCTACGCTTATACTACTATAAATACAGTTAAAATCTGTTATAACGACATCGACTACTCATATTTGGCCGTAAAAACCAATAGTCGTAACAGCCGATGACGTTGTTTTTTTTTATATGGCTCTGGCACGGTTTGTGCATTTAGCCAGCGTCAAGTATAAGATTTTTATAATTCGTGCTTTTTGCCTTAGAAATTCGACCATGTCTTCCATGTACGGTTTAGGCACTCGCCCGGTACTGCACAACCCTCCCAAAGGCCGAGAACAAATTTAAATTAAATTAAAGCTTGCCCTCGAACCGGGAATCGAACCCGGTACCCCTCACCTAGCTGCCACTTAATAAGACCGCTAGGCTATGAGGCCCGTTGTTATTAAGTACCTAATACAATAGAATTCAGCCGGGACCTTAGATTTTGTAGTGCATATCTACTTATAATGAATAAACACCTTTTTATTTTTATTATTAAGTGACTACGATGAAATTGACTACTCACAGTTTTACATAATAGTGGCTAACTACTCTTGGCCTTAGATGTCTCTATCTGTTTTCGCATATTTTTCTTAATAAGCAAGTTCAGCCGTCTATGCCTGACAAACTCATGCAAGTTTGAAGAAATTTCCCTTAATGTATATAATTTGTAGCGTCTGGTACCAGAACTATATAAATTTATGCTGGCCATGCGTCATACTCGTGAACGGGTGCTACTTGTGGCGACTGGTTGAATTCGTGTATGCGGTGATGTTAGTTATTTCGACTATGTATTTGCGTGTGGTTCCCACGAGAATATAAGAGCTTGCTCCTATTTCACCATGCCTCCTGCTATAGTGGACAAATCTTTGTTTTTAATATATTTTATTATTATTTATTACTTAAGATGTCATGTGGAACATGGTGTAATGGTTGCAGCTACTTACAAACATTGTGTTAAACAAAAAACTTGGCGATTATAAAGAGTAGCGGAGAGTGTTGAGGTTCATAAGTGTACATTGTGTTACCTATATTAATAAATGATTTTGATTTGATTTGAATATATTTATATTTTGTGCAGATATGTGACTTTGGACTGGCAAGAGTGGCAGATCCAGACCATGATCACACCGGTTTCCTTACGGAGTACGTGGCGACACGCTGGTACCGCGCCCCAGAGATTATGCTCAACTCAAAGGTAAGTTATTTAGGTCTTTCAACAAATATAAATACATAAATTTCTTTTAACACATCGAACGGAATATAATAGTACTTAAATGTATTAAATAAATTTTTTTTAAATTTGAATTAAATGTGTTATTTATATTTTTTATTTATTAATAAAAATAATTTTCTTTCGTATCCTTGTCATTACGTTCTTTTAACAGACACTGCTCATAAATGTATTAAAAGATAATAATATATTATTTTTATTATAACTATGAAGGTTAAAGTTGTAAATACTGTATATTTCATTGTTATGTTTAGATTTTATTTAAATATATTATTATATCATTAATCTTGAAACGACAAAACCGAAGAAAGGCTGTATGTTAAAGATAATTTATTTATATAGGTGTGACGGCGGTAAAGTTCCTATTATACTAAGATAATTCTCGTTTTCCAGTAACGAATACTAATATATGGAGTAATTCCAGTTTCTTTGGATTAATGGAAAGAATGATCCGCAACGATAATTCTTTGAAGCTTTTTGTATGAAAGCTCGGAAAATGACCGAGTGCTTTCAAGCGTTTTCAAACCCTATTATTTACAGTTGTTTCTTTTGTTGGACCTAAGAGATTCACTGAAATGTTGCAATGGCTGCATTATTTATAAATAAATTTATTTATATTATCACGCTTTACCGAACGGGTAGGCCGAGACCACGGGTCTCCACTTGCTATGGCTCTGACATATCTCTCTCGTTCATTCACCATGCAAGTTCGTCCGTTATGGGTACTTTTAAGTTGTCCCTTCTCTAGTACTGCCTGGATTTGTCCCAGGTATGTACGACAAGGCCTATCCAACCCGATTTCAGCGTAACATACGTCGTTGCGTTTACCCGTGAAGTTCTTTAATTTGAATCTTTGGTTCTAGTATGATAGATTAAAGTGATGTTCAAAAAACATGAAACTTCGTTTTTGGCGTAGAAGCATTACGAATGATCTTATTTGCGTTTTCATAGATGTTACTTGAAACAAAGGCTATATTCTATTTCTCACAGTTCGCAAGTCTCTATTTATGTAAGTTTTGTACAGTGAGTTGAGGTTTACATTTACTGCCAGTTCTTAAATAAACTGGCAAGGAACACTCCACGAGTTGTTTTAATTGGCAACTATTTTATTTTACAAGGTCATTATAAGGCAATACAGTTATTACACATCACTTCATGTGACATGGATTGACAAATTAAAGTAAAAAAAAAAAAAAAAACAAAGCTTAGCCAGTATTAGCAGGAGTCAAGAAGTAAGAGCACGCATTTTCAGTACAGTAAGAACAATACACAACCACAGTATTATAACTAAATATAAATATTTAACGATTAAAATCAAATTTTAAGCCTAGAACTTTCCGTGAATTTAAATGCGCATTTAGACCATTACTTTGCCTCTAGGAACCATTTAATTAAAAGCTTACGTAACAAAGAATTAACGTTAACCCGTTTTTCTTGGCATAACGGAAATACACTCAACGGTCATACAAGTGGAAAACTCTCGTTCATCATTCGTGTTCAACTTTCATTCGTTTTGCAATAAACAAACTTTTCTACTGTATTGTGCTGACAAAAGTATGATTGAGTTCAAATAATAAAGGCAATTCGAACTGAATACGAGTAAAATTCATTATTTTTATATATTTGTTTTTAAGAGCAGTGTCGGTCTAATTGCTGAAGCATGGCTCAGGTCGTGTGTTCGAGCACAGCCTTGCGATTCTGTAACTCATTTGGCGATTTGGCATTCTGATAAACAATAAACTACAAGCTCCCTCCTTATCAGAATGCCAAATCGTAAAATGACTGCTTCACGACTGATTTGAGCGCGGCCGCCGATGCGAAAACCGCTGTGCGAGTTCGAAAAGTGAGTTACAGAATCGCAAGGCTGTTAAAAAGATAAAATATGCGTTGTTGGATTAAACCAATGTTGGCTACATGTGCTATATATTTAAAAAAAATCGTTTACGTTACGTGGTCACGTAAAGGTATTCGATTTAAAATAAATAATTATTTAAAAAAATCAAATTTAAGAATAGTTAAAAAAGGCATTTATACATATCGATTTATTTGAAAATCGATTATTTAGTTATCGATTTTTTGCTCTCCAAGTCACATCCCTAGAAGGAAGAACCCCTTACAAAGTGGAAAGCGGCATTTCCTAAACCCAAATATCGACAAATGTCGAAAATAAAATAGATTAGCAGTTTCTATAGAAAGCGAAACGATGACTAATCTTTATTTAATTTTCTCGTATTAGAGTGAACTTTAATGACAAGTTTTCAAATAATAACGTCAATAGATAAAGGTTGTCCGTATTTGAAAAGTTGCAGCAAGTAACATTTTATTCTAAATAAAATCGACGACCTGAACTTGGTCTTAAGAAATCCATTAAACATTCTCATTTCGTAATTTCTATTCAAAACAAAAATTTCTTTTTATATTAAGAGGAGTGCACGGCGTGGTAGTACACATTTTATTTTAATTTATTAAAATCAGCGGGATTTTGCATAAATAGAAAATAAATATCTTTAGAATTACTGCACAATAAAATTAAAATATTAATATGGTAAATATACAGGGTGGCCAAAAAGTCGTGGATCAAACGCAAATAGGGGATAGATGAGGTCATCAGGAACTTAATAGTTTATTTTATTAAAAATATTCGAAGTTTTAATAAAATAAATATTTTGTTTGTCTAACGCAAATTGTTAACGCAATAACTCATCAGTACCAATCTAGTGGATATTATGAAAAGATACAGGATGTATATCTTTGTATGTTTGTAAATGGTAAAAACATTCTGGACCGATTTCAATACCCTTAGATACAATGCCTAAGTAACATAGGCTTTAATAATAATAAAAATAAATGCCCATCCATATGCATGCCTGTACCTGATATAGCTATAGTAATAGGCTTACCTGCCGACCATTTCATCGACCTCTGACATATAATGAGGCTCTATTTTAATTGAATTGCCGAGACGTGAAGCGTGTAATTTTTGATGCACGCGCTGCAATGGATTATGAACGGCTTTTTTTAAATGAAAAATTCGTATAGCGAGAATGCTTTTCCGTATTTTCATGTTTTTAACCCGTTCTTTTGTTTTCGTTAGTTACACAATTCTAACCTTCATTCACATTAGTTGTTTGGTGCCGTTTCTTTTCAATTACAATTTAGAATTGGTAAATTCTTTTCGCCATATTTTATGCCTTTTTTAGATTTTGCAAGGTAGGATAAAACAGTGGCGCTACAACCTAGGTCTCTGTTGAGATGTTGATGTTTGGGTCTGTTCGGTTTCCTTGCGATGTTTTTCCTTCACCGTACGTGAGTTCAATGCATAATAGAAAGAAAAATCAGTGATGCACAGCTGTGATTCGAACGCACGAACTCAGTGTTTAGAGGCGCACGTTTAAGCCACTAGGCCAACCGTGCTCCTTTTTTTATTACAAGCTTTTCCGAGAGTGGCAGACAAAACCGACTTACGTGTGCAAAACGTAACGTAATTATTTACGGTAAATTTTATTTTAATATACAGAAAAATAATAAGCTTGATATTACATAGAAAAGGCTTCGTAGGAAACCCTTGCGCTTTGGCCTTGATACGCGATCCGAGGGTCGCTAAAACAAGAAAACCCTTCTAAACATATAAATCCTTTCTACATTATGCCTCGTGTGCCTCGAATAATAATTTTTAAGTTGTGACATTACTTAAGTTCGGTGGAGGTACGATATTATTTAATAATAATATTACCGTCGAGAAGGTATTGGGAGACTACTACCAAACTAGGTAAGATCCTGTGATATGGATAACCAGGCTTCAATTCCACAGCAAAGTCATAGTGAGTGGTAACAAAAAGTACATACATATATGGGTAGGCAAACAAATTTAAGTCAAAACTTTGTTTGAAGCTTGGTGTCAACTGGCTTTAATCGTTCAATACATTAGCTTATAACTAACATAAAATTAGGTAGGTTAGTAGTGGCCATCTTTATCACAATGGCCCAAATTAGAAGATAGAACGACCTATTTATTCTCAGACCTACCGAATATACACAAAAAAAATGAAAATCGGTTTAAAATGTAGACAATATTGAAATATTAATCACAAACAAAAATTGTAGAATTCGTTGTTAACAGTTAAAAATATATAAATTGCAATTTATAAAAATAAATATATTAAGTATTAACTTTGTTATGGAAGAGCTGGAAATCCTTACAAAGGTTTTTTTTTACATAAAGGGGTTCCCAAATCTAAAAGGATTTGTGCATTACAAATAAATAGTCTTAATCAATAAACACTTTTTTATTATGTAATAAATATTTCAATTATTTAATTTATTATTATTTAATAACATTTCAATTCCTGTAATAAAGATGTAGAAAATAGGCCTCATTAAACTAGTAATGACTTTGAGGTAAATTGTATACATTTTTCAGCACACGTAACAACGTCAAAGAATAATTTTTATTTAATACAGTAAAGCTGCTCGCTATGACTACATAATTGTATTCATTCAAATACTTATGTTTTAAAGGTAGCTCTTGGACTTACAATTGTACTCATCTGTCTCTTTTGATCATAGCGTAAACAGATTTTGTCAGAAAGTGACGAAGATAATAAGGTGTTATTGTGTGTACCGTCAAGGAATTAAACAATAGAGAATAATAATGTTAATATAAATTCCCTGAAATTACACTCCTTACAGTTATTTTAGTAAGTAACATTATTAATTTCTACAGGGCTACACCAAGTCGATAGATATATGGTCTGTAGGCTGTATCCTAGCCGAGATGCTGTCAAACCGACCCATTTTCCCGGGCAAGCATTACTTGGACCAGCTGAACCATATTCTGGGAGTGCTGGGCTCACCCGGGCAAGAGGATCTTGACTGTATCATTAACGAAAAGGTATGTTACACAAAAACAATGAAAATTTTAAAATTAGTATATATCTCATGAAAGTGCAATTTTCACTTTGTTGCATGTATGGCAGCAAGCATATTTGAATAATAATTGTGTGCCTTCAAATGCAAATAATACTTCTTCTCTCAGAATTTGAATACTCGAACTATTAAAGTTGTCACGGTCTTATCTCGGTGAAATAATGATTGTTTCGCTTTGAATGCGCACTCTATATACACTATTTTTAATTTCTAATTGTACAATAAACAGCACCTTCATATGTAAAAAAAACAGTGACGCTACAACCTTTTTTAGGTCTGGGCCTCAGGGTTCTGTAACTGTTTCATGATAATTTGTATATCTAATAGGCAAGTAGGTAATTAGTCTTTTGTGCCTGACACTCGCCGTGGACTTTTTGGGTCTAAGGCAAGCCGGTTACCTCACGATGTTCACTTTCGCCGTTCGAAGAAATGGTAAATGCGCACATATACGTAGAATGAAAGTCCATTGGTGCCGGGAATCGAACCTAGGACATCAGGGATGAGATTCGTACGCTAAAGCCACTAGGCTACTGCTCCCTATAAAAACCAAACAACCTACCAAACAGACACATAAATGTATCCGTCTCAAAATAATCGAAACATATTTATCATGAATTTGTATCAGTTTTATTATATTTTTTAATTCGCAAGTAGGTGATCAGCAGTCTGCGTGACACACGATGTTTTTCATCATCATATATGTATGATGTACACTCAAGTCACTAGGCCAACACTGCTTCATCACAAATATCATTATCGAAAGAAATATAGGGCGATGTCTACGTGATTTATGTTTAATGTTCATGAAAAGAATGACCGAGCTCGAACAACAACGAACACAAAGACTGATGCTCTTTTTCACGTCTTCAAGGGAAATATATCTTTCATACATTTATAACGCGCCATAGGAATAAAAACTCATTTAATGCCAGCACATTTTCTTTTAAAAATATTTTTACCCTTCAATAGTATGAAATTTTCATACGTTTGACGAACAATACGTATCGAATAGTGAATAGAAAATATTTTCACCCTCGACGCAAAAAGTGGGGTGTTATATGTTATCCATACTATATAGTTGGACGTGTCTGAGTGGTGTCGTATTTTAAAATTGATCGACTATGTTTTTTGTTAGCTAACGTGGGACGTAGCTCTAAGACAAATGGATCAATAAAAATGCGATTTTTGTGTGAAAGCCAACGTGATTGTACCTAATGGTTTTATGATAAGCGTTTGAAGATATTTTTTTGTTACGATAGTAATCACACACGCATAATGAGTATTTTCTTCAATTTAAATTTGACCTAAAATGTACCACACATGTCACTGAGGTGGGAAATCGGAAACACGAAAAAACATACTATCAACAAAATTGGATACTTCAAACTTTTAAATTGCTACACAGTATATGCCGAGAAGTCACAGACACCTGAAACAGTCCTTACTGGATCAGGCGCCGAGGCCAATGTCTTGTGTATGTTTATGGCAATCAATTATTATTATTATTATAAGCTAGCCCCCAAATTTCGTTAATATGATTGTTTTACTTGACCTATTTTTTTAGTAGCTACACACCAACATATGGAACATTTTGATATGCTATCTCATAGATTGTTTTTCCGGAAAAAATATTCTCGTCTTAAAAACCTCAAAGTTCAAGGAATAAAACAAAATAACTCGAATTGGTCCAGCCGTCATAAGTTTTGAGCTTGCCCACATATTTTGCGATTAATTTTTATTAGTATAGATATCATGCACTCAGCGAATATAACATCGGTGCCAAGCCGGGCTCGCACGTGCGACATGTTTGAAAAACGCTGAACCAGCCTTATACAACCAATAATGATTTTGTAGAAAATCAGACTTTATCTTTAAAGCAACATAAATACGGTTTAAATGACTTGGCTCGTAAATGGTTCGATCGTTGCCCAATCAGATAGCATTGAACAGAATCAATCAATATTTTCAATTTAGAACTGAGGTTAAATGATTTAGATTTCAGCTCCAATCAAACATATTCCGTATTAAACCGCATATCTAGAAACAAAATACTGATTCAACGTAAATTGATTTTTGTACCATTAAACTCGTTTCGTGATTCGTATATCAAACGAAGTGGAATTAATATGGAAAGAGATTTGTACGGCAAATATATGGAAAAGTTGATTCTATAAGCTGTTGGGGGAAAACATCAAATATCACCTGTATGTCATGAGTTTTATAAAGGTCTGAACAAAAAGAATGTTTTTCCACCCTCAAATTAGCAAGAACAGTTTCCTGCGTCTTATTCGTTCTTTGAGGCTCGGTGATCGGCCATCTGTGCAAACCCGAAACAATTAATGTTTCCCCAACAATTATATCATAGCCTGCGTAATATATTTCAATTAAATAAAAAAAGTGCGGGAGTACAAAGTTCACATGTCAGAAGTAAAACTTCTTTGGCAAAATTATTTTTAAGTCTTGTCCATATTTATACAAATCTAAAATTTTTGATTTCCGAGACTTAGAGGGAGGGAAAAAGAAAAAAGGAAAAGGAAGATATGTTAGGAATTTAATGAATTTAATTGTCATTAAAATATTAAGTGTCGAAAATTAATTAAATCAATTAAAAATATATTTTTTATATAAAATAATAATATTTCATAAATTCTCTTTACGAAATTTTAATTTTAAAAATAGAATTTCTATGAGGTCATTCGCCCTTCTCACTCCCTCTTTATCGGTCTCAATCGCTCTCTCCCTTTTCTTCAACAAAAACGCTGCACATCATCGTGACGCTAATATTATTATGGCGTTTTATCCGTAAAAATTTTACCTCATGCGCCTAAAGAAATTTCACTTCAATACTAAAACTAATGTTGTTTTTTAAATGCAAGCATATGTCTTAGGTTACGCGGCTACCTAGATATGACAAGAATAAGTGTGTTTAAAGACGAGATTTGAGAAAAACATAATTGCATATATTAGCATCCAAATTAGTTTATATTGTAAACAATGGTATGTATGAATTTTTCTTAGCAGTCTCGAATGTATATTCGTATGTATAACAATTGTTCCTACGAAATGTGAACAAATCCTAAATTTCACATTACCGCCACATCCAACAAACAGCCCAAACTTGCTATTATGCGATGCTTAATTCAGGTTGGACCAATATTTTCCCTTTGAACCTGTCCAAATTAAATACCAACATTGTAGAGGATATTATTTTTTTATTAAAATATTTGAACGTGAATTAAATAAAACGCTTGCAATTAGTAAAATCGTGTGGTGGTAAGCGACTCTTAACCGTGTCGTACATTGGCTGTGTACTAATACTCTATTTAACATGAGAGCAATAGATTGACGTATGTAATGTTGATTCCGCCATGTAATAAATGCAACCTTTTAAAATATCGAGAACAAAACATCGTCTTAGAGCGCGGCCACACGATGCGGTAACGGTGCGGTGCGGCGCCGCACCGCAATTACTTCGAACTAATGGGTGCCACATGGGCGTTGCGGTGTGGCAATACATATATTTTACCCCTCCCCGCCTCGTCTCGCAGGTCACAACTCCGGCGCGCTTGCGGTGCGCGTACGCTTGTCAGAAGGCTCGCAAGTGCGTTGCCGTCATTTTAAGAATTGATAGGCGCGACCTATGACTGCCATATGTCAAAATTCAATAGTCACACACATTTTTTACATTCAGGAGTTTCATTCTTCTTTCCGGATATCACTCTGAAGGTCTGTTGTGCTTAACAAATGTAATAGCTGTTTGAGGGGTAAACTTTTTGTTTCTGCGTACTTTTGCAGTCAGCCAACCGTTTGATATCTGTGTGGAAAGTTTTAACTAGTTTTTTTAGTGTTTCGAGTGAAAACTGAAAGCATGTTAAATGTATTTAGAAATAGATTAAATTTAGATAACCGTTTTGATATCTCAACGCATAGTGTATTGAGTGAGATTCCATTGATTATTATACTAAAAATTCTGAGAACTCGTTTTGTAAATAATTTAATAATTAGAGCAGTGTTGGTGTAGTAAAGCGTACTCTCAACGTCGTGCGTTCGGCAAACAGTAGATCACCTTCTTTAAAAAAAAATCCCAAATATGGGGTTGTAGCACTACTAGATTTTCTTAACAATACTATTATGATTAGCTAATTTGAGGAATCATGTATTTAAAATATATAATTTATTACACAAATATATAATGAGCATGGCTTTGCTCGTTTCTGTGAAACAAACTTGTTTTGCCAACGCGTTGCATTTAAACATAATACACATATAAATAAATATATAAATAGGATTTTCTTATATAAAAGTCATACGTACGTCATACATACGTACCTACATACGGTCCTTGGTTTTTTTCATGCATATCATAAAAGTAGGCGTGGTATTTGACCGTTACAACTATGATATATTCTAAAATATTTATTGTTATTATTTATAAAAAAAACCTTCGATAGTATATGTGACTGTTTTGCTGTAGTGCTGATAATGAATAACTTTTGTTCAAGGCTCGAGGTTACCTGGAGTCTCTGCCGTACAAACCACGTGTACCTTGGACACAACTGTTCCCGAACGCGGAGCCGCGTGCGCTAGACCTGCTGGACAAAATGCTCACCTTCAACCCCCACAAGCGCATCACTGTGGAAGATGCGCTCGCGCACCCATACCTCGAACAGTACTATGACCCACACGACGAGGTTAGTATTAGATTTTATTGATAAGCCTAATAAATTGGTTCGTACGATAGGCGTCACAGCTTCCTTGAGTAGGAAGAGATATTACGTGAAGTAAAAGTATTTATTTATTTATAAGTAATCTTTGAGCTACGTTATAAAGAACACTTTGACAATATACATAGCCAAACCTGATAACATTGATATACAAAATATATGAAACACAAAACATAAATACTTTAATAGACAAAAAGGAAAAGAAAACTGAAATTAAACATTAATCTAACGACAATTTAATATTTTAAAGAAAAAACTAAATAGTTACTACTGCTATATAAAATCAAAATCTTCCCGCTTCTTAAAATATTTCCTCACATCCTCTTTGGTAAGGTGGAAAATGTAATAATAATTTGTGTTATAGTTAGCTAAAACCCGAAAGATTGGCGAATTACGTAGATAATTCGTGTTCATACGAGGCACATGGAAAAATTGTGAAATCTTGTCGCATACGGGGGAGGGATTCTTAAAGAAATTAACCACAGCAAATAGGGGCTATTTATCCGCCCATTAAGTATAGCGTGCAAAAATAATAAGTCTATTGTAACACTACTATTGTCTTTACGCGAGTTTCACATTTAAATATTCAAATATAAATGCTAGAGCTTCTGACCATTCTTATTGTTAAGCACTCGAATTGTTTAGGGTTGTAATGTATGTAATAAATTCCCGTTTATATTAAAGAATAGTTTAATTATATTTTTAATACAACTTCATTTGTTTTTAATTAAATTAGGTGTGGTTAATAAATGACTTTATGGAATTTGACTCAATGTTGCGCATAGAATTCAACAGCTCCATTCTGCAGCTATATGTTTTCAATTGAATTTAAATGAATGTTGGCCGGTATTCAATGGATCAGCGAAAGGTTGTCTATAGAAAAATTGGCGCAATTACCTGTATTTAATTTGCTTATATATATATCATCAAAAAACATCTGGTGTTTTAGCTGTAGAGCAGTGCAGTGGGATCTTAGACGACGTCAGATATTGTAGAAGATCCTAGACAGTCCTACCTGTCGAATAGTAAATTTATTCGTACCTACGTATACAGTTGCGAATTCAATAAGTTTTTGTTCCGTTCGCGACTGAATTGTACTGAACTAAAATATTGTATTTGTTACCGTCATGTATCGGCATGCTTAGAGTGTTCCAGTTATAATTATTATACATATTTTAAAATATTGTATTAAAAAAAAATATAATCTGTAAAATATTTAATTGACAAGTGCTAGCATAGCATATAAGAAAATTCTATGTAATTTGATAACAAGACACTTCGACCATCTCTTTCGCGCTTTTTAAGGGATTTTCGAATCGAACAAATAGAAAAGTGATTACTTTCCTGAATGTGACAAGCAATCAAAAGTTCAAGTCACGTAAAGTTGTTTAAGGAGGTCGTTAAATATTTATAAAGGTTTGACAACACACGAGCGTATTGACTACATATTTCCAAATACGATTTCCGACAATTTCCTTTAAAAAGGAATAATAATATTTGTTATTGATTTTTCACGATCTTTAACTAAAGGCAGGCTTTGAGGTTATTAATAATTTAATTTATAGACTCTTTGATAAATGTTATTTAACTTTTAAATCCGATTATTGTTAATTAGAATGAAAAGTAAAAAATAACAGGAAGCCCTTAATGTAAGATCCAGAGTCGAGACTTAGCGTGAAGTCTGAAGAATGTATTGGATTCTGATACGGAAGTTACTTAACATCTGATTTATTTTTCCACAAGAATACATGTATATACAATACACTATCTAATAATAATAATAATATACTAAAAAATACGTCTTCTGGAGGTCAAAATCCGGAGAATACGGTGTATGGAGCAGCGGTTCGTAGCCTAATTCTACCAATTTGGCCGTGGCGACGGCCTAGGTGTGAGCCGGTGCGTTATCCAGATGGAACAGCACCTTTTCTTTATTTCGGCGTCGAATCTGTCAAATAATTCGGCATAGTAGAGCCCTATGATCGTTTAGCCCTTCTGCAGGTAGTCGATGTAGATCACATCTTTTGAGTCCCAAAGGCCATCACCTATCCGGCCGATGGAATAGTCTTCGCCTTCGGAGCACGTTCCCCGGGTGAAGTCTACTGTTTCGACTGTTCCTTGGTCTCTGGTGTGTACCAATGTATCCACGGTCACGAAACAAGGCAGAAACTTCTTCGGATTACGCTTAAACGTCCTCAAACACTGTTCTGAAACAGTCTCACGGTTGCGCTTGTTGACCGGAGTGAGCAAACGCGGCACGCATCACGCCGACAGCTTTCTCATGCCCAATACTTCGTGCAGGATATGACCTATGCAGTGTTTTGAAATGCCTACTGTCTCACCTATCTCGCGCACCTTCAATCCAGAGCTCGTGCATTCTTGCGAGACGTGCGACCGTGTTGAAACTCGTTAAACCAATTTTTGACTGGCGCTATTGAAGTAGAGTCACCGTACACTGCATCCAATCGCTCTATGATTTCGCTGCTTGATTTCCCTTCCAAAAACAACATTCGAAACACCGAACGATATTGCTCTTATTCCATTTTTCTGAAATCCGCGGACACGCTCGCTTTCACATACGGTCAAAACAAAACTACGAGTTTATAGACTATAAAAATGTCTTCATTCATCTTTATTATTTTCAGTTAAAATGCCCGATTGCGGTAACTTTTGCTTTTGAATTTTAATCTTATTCATTCTACAATGGATTGAAAACTGTTTTTTATTACCCTCTTTATTATTTATTTACTAATGAATCTAAACAAAACACTAGCGGCCTTACCTGGCTTGGCGCGACTGGAAAATTATTTTATTAAATATTTTAGAAATAAATATAGCATGTTACATGATGATGATGTTGCATTATAATGGTGAAACAATTTCTGAAATGAATCCAGTAGAATTCGTTACAAATATGTAAGTTTTCTCATAATATTATTATCAACTAGATGATCTGGTGAATATTTGTGTCAAAACTTAATACTCTATTTTTAAAAGAGACCGGCCATACTACAGCTATGAAACACAAATTTTGGAAGGCTTCTATAATGACAATAAAGATTGTAAATTTTTTATTTCTAAAAAGGCATAGGACAGCATATATTTCTCAGCTGAAAATTCAATGGGTTTTACTTATTATTGGTTCCCATCTGAACTTTTACAAATATTTCAAGATCAGAATTATCCAAATAGGTTCAGCCATTCTCTAGCGAGACAAATGTACAGCAATTCATTATTTTATATATAAATATAGATATTGATATATCCATAGTTGTATAAAGTCAACATTGCTTGTACCCTGTAGTAAGAAGTAATTATAACATTTCTTTGTATAATAAATTTGTGAAATGTGACTGTCTACTTCAGGCTTGTAGCGACCTTTTTGCCCTGAAGCTACGAGATGAAACGCGACAAATGTAAAACGCAAAACTCGGCTCACATACGATCACATGCCCTATAACTTTACCCGTCACGTATCTTTTTTAATGACACGATTAAAAAGTCGCCTCCCATTTTTAGGAAGATGTTTAAATTCGTCTCGTTCTTAGCCCACAAAGTGAAGAAAGAAATCTAGAAACATCTCTTTAAACGTTCATTCTTTTTCTTATTCTTAAAAATAAAATCATTGGCGCAACAACCTCTTTAGGCCTCAGACTTCTGAATCTGTTTCATGATCATTTTTCAATCTAATAGGCAAGTAGGTGATCAGCCTCCAGTGCCTGGCACACGCCGTCGACTTTTTGGGTCTAAGTCATGTCGGTTTCCTCACGCTGTTTTCCTTCACCGTTTGGGCGAATGTTAAATGCACACATAGAAAGAAAGTCCATTGGTGCACAGCCGGGGATCAAACCTACGACGATGAGACGTCGAGACGGGATGAGAGTCGCACGCTGAAACCACTACGCCAATACTGCTCATATTTTCTTATTCTTACCTTTCTTATATTTTTGTATAGAATTCTCAAATCGTGAACTAATTCTACAAATTTCATTGGATTTGGACAGGTACGCACATTGTGGACGTACTAATAAATCAATTAGTTCTGTCTACTATATTCCCACACCCAATCGATAAATACTACTTGCTATTATCTCTCGTCTCGCGGTGCCTAGAACAGATAACCTTCATTTTATAAATAATATTGAAAATAGTATTTACAAGAACAGCATAATGCAAGGTCAAAATAGCATAACATTAAATGCAGTAACATTTAGTGTTTAGCCAATCGATCTCTGTCAGATAATAAAATACATATTAAGATAAAATATTTAACATGAAACATGTGGTCAGGATTCAAATATATAAAGATTAGCGCCATTCAAGTTTGATACTGTAATTACTACGTGTGATTCCGACGGATATTAAAACGTCTCCCTTTCCGATGACTACGAGTTGGCGTTTATACATTTTCTACTTGGTTATTTCAATATTTGATTTTGTAGTAAGTATTTATATAAAATGGCTTGAGTAATAATAAAAAAAAAGGGTGCGTGTACTTATGTACGCGCGTAAGAAGTTATACTTCTTTGGCATTATTAAAAATAGTTTTTGATTGCATGCAAATAATTAATTACAATTAAATAATCAAAGACTGGAAAAGGAGTCATTATAGTCAATTAAGTTCAGTTTACATTTGAAAAATTAAATAAATAATTATTTATTATTATTCTCTTACATTAAGTGTAACATAAATTCTATTTAGTTAAAAGTATATATAATTATATATTTAGAACATCTCTACCAAACACTAAGAAGTATGTTGTAGCTTTGGCAGTATTGCACAATATAAAATTAATAAATTTCTTTGAAAAATTAATCAAAACTCCTTTATTTGTTAAAAAAGGTAAATGACAAATGTCATTATGGTCATTCAAAATTCTTGGCATACGAACTTCACGCATATTCTATTTCTTTTTACTTGTAGATTGTCTTATTCCTATCTCGCTCGCGCACGCTATAATCACACTCCCAATTTTGTGTCACAGGTGCGCGCGCATCGTAAAATTTCACTCTCATAAATTTTTCATAACGCGCCTAAAGAAGTATAACTTCAATAATACTTATTGGCCGTGAGACTATTCAGTCAAGCGATATAATCAATGTTTATTCAATAATATATTCTAACCAGGCTTTTTCTCTGACACGTGCAGGTCTTTTTATTTAAGAAAAGCGTTTTTAGTAAATTTGTGACCTCTTCCGTTAATTTCCTAATGGCTTGCGGCTAAGTTAGACCGTACTCTACGAAGATAATCTTGCAATTGCTATAATCCTTTGGCTCAGACGACGGAGTAAGAATGCAGAACGATAGCGGTGAAACGGGTGATTTTCAAACAGAATCGTGAAAAGCTTCTACAAAAGGATTGCCGCGAGATTCGTGTCGAAAAAATTAACAAATTCATATTCACGTTCAAAACCGTAACAAAAAGAACGCCTTGCTTATATACAAAATGTTTTTATGTACATATCTATTTATATAAAAATCGATTTAGTAGCCAAACATTGTATTTTAAAAGTATTTCTAACCGTTATTTTCCCTTTACAATCGAAAAACTTAAAAGCGAATCCTTGAAGCTTTTTGAAATATAAAATATAGCAAATTATTATTATTTATTTATTAAATCTTAAAAAATACAACGGAAAATATTATATTTATGGTACAAAAAGTTGCAGAAAACCACCGCTAGCTCATTTGTAAAGCATTCAAAAAACCTCATTCTCAAATAAAATCGTCGTATTAGACGGTATTGATGTAGGTTATATGTTAGACCTTTTCGTTGGTATTCGTATAAGAGGTGACCCGTTACGCATGACGTAACGATTGCCAAGGGTCGCCACACGCCTTTATTAATCTACGTTTCAGACGTACCTGGAAATAAGAATGTTACCTATGTTTTTAACGACATTTTTTGTAGTGAGAACTTTTTCCCAACCCTAAGTTCGTACAATGGCTTCGAGTCTTTGAACTAGATCACTTAAATATAACAACGTTTTAAGAACCAATCCTTAACACTAAATAACAAAGGCGAGAAGGCTGTTATGACCTCAGGTGTTTTTCTTAGAAATTTCGGCACCTCAATAGGTTAGTTTTGTAAGCTGATTATAAAAACAATTACACTTAAATATGTTGTTGATGTCTAAATATGAAAATATTTCTTTGTTATATAGAATGGCTGTTGCGCTAGAAAGAGATAATGTATTAAACTAAACAAAATAAATCATTTTTTCGTTATAGAGAGTTTACACTGTATTTGGTAAATAAAGTACTAATTCTCTTTTGCGATTTTGAAAGCTAAAAGTTAGTAAACGTCACTTAAGCTGAATTTAACAAGACACTCTAAAATGTCATAAAAATCCAAAAATAATATATCCAACTCGATAAACACGGCACACATACTCAAAACTATTTCTCACTGTATTTGATATGAGAATGTAAAACAAAAGACGGAATGATGGATAGAGTAGTTTGATTGTGATTCTAACCTAATAGACCAGGGTGGATAATTTTTGAAACCAAAAAAAGTATAAAAATGAAAGGAAAAATAATTTACGGGCGATCTGAAGTCGGGAATGGGAAGAGGGTGAGTTTTTAAGGGTATTACGATTTCCGGCAAAACTAAAAGTCCTATGGAAAAAAGTCAAATGGCAAAGTTGTAGACAGTAAAAAGATCTAAAACTTTTGTATTTACACTTTTTTCACATAACCTCAAAATTATGTGAAAATTTCAAAATGTATTTTTATTATTTTTAAAGGGTAGATGTACTATAAAGAAAAAATGTCCGCTCAAAAACTTAAAAAATCTTAAACTTTTGCTTGTACTGGTAATTCTTTACGACCGTTTGCAAACAAACAACTTAAGTATTAATTCCACACCTTCGTTTACTGACATAATCGTTTAATTTAATTTGCCAACTATTCAATATTTTACAAAATACGTCTCCCTGTCACGTAAACAATATGATAAACCCCATTACACGCGTCATGCATGTTAATTAATTAGTCGGACTATGTATATTCATAATATCATAATTCAATTTACTGAGTCTCTCGAAGGTAATATTCTTACAGGGTATTATTTCATTACTATTATGAATTCTTATATTGTTACATTGCAATAGCGGTTTCTCAACCTTCAGCGTTCGACATTAGAATGATGTATCAATAGTATTTCTATGTGCCCATTTAAAACTCGCTTGGACGGCAAAGACTGATGCCTTAGACCAGTGTTACCCAACCTTTTTTGGCCATGCCCCAACTTAGCCTTTCTAAAATTCTTATGTAGCATACATAATTGAATATCTATAATTGAATTGCTCATTTAATAAACGCAAATGATAGGTTTTTGTACTTGGAAATTGTTATCGAAACACAGTAAGTAGATTTTAAAACATATAATGAAAAATAAAAAATTTTGCAATAGAGGGGCTTAGCTATCAAATTACCGTCCTGTGGGCGTGGGCCCCACGTTGGGAAACACTACCTTAGACTCAAAAATCGGCGTATCGCTGAAACCGCCGTCATTGGCTCAAGACGCTGATCACCAATTATGAAAGAAATATCAAGGAACAGATTCAAAAATCCGAAGCCAATCGAGGGTTTTTTTTCTTCTTTTTTTCTCGATGTACTCCCCTGGCTTTGTGTCCAGGGACTTTTCTCCATCTCTTATATTTTCACTAAAAGATACATAAATTAAAATCATACTTATCCGTGTTACGGCGTCTCGCGGGAAACACCCCGGCTACATCGGTAATATTTACAATACATATTCATGGGCAAGCCGGAACGCAAATTCTTGCGAGACCCGTTCTTTCATTTTTGTTTTCTCCTTCAGATATTTAATCATTTTTTTCGCAGACTATCAAAATACATCACAATTATGGTAAACATAAATGTAACATTGAAACTCTTTGGAGGAAGCCGTCGATGTGCCATCTAACCGCATCTCGTCAGCGTGGTGTAAGGTTAAGGCGTTTGGGAGATTAAAAAAATAATAAATAATATTATATGGCTAAAGTCAAAGTATCTTTAAACGTTATATAGACAAGTTTCAGGTTGAAATAGTAAGGGTATTTTTTTTGTTTTGGGAGCGTTCAAGTATTATGCCACGCAATTTTTGGAGATTATTAACCCCCCACCCCCATGTAACGCGCCGTTACGTTTTTCTGTACCCAATTGTAAAACGTTTCGTGACCACCCAGTGACTCTATAGCTAAAAGTTACCATTATGTGCTATAAAGTACTGGAAAGTTGAAAATAATATTAACAATAACGTGTAATTCAATCCCCGCCCCGCATCGTAACGTTTTACAAAAGGGAAACCCCCAAAATTCGTTACGTAATACTTGAACTTGTAAGTTCATGTAAAAAAAGAAAATGTATTTTTAATTTTTGTTAAATAACCTTAAAGAAGATTAAATTGTTTAATTTTTATCAATCTCCTTGAATATAGTAAGAGACTTGGAGAAAACTATGTTAAAACAGATCTCCCAAGCGGGCTGACCCAACGACACGATCTACTGCGTCTCTTCGTATAATTATTTCAACCACACCGAGTTTCACAACTGAAATTTTGTGTAATTAAATGCTAGAGCAAATAACTCCACTTGGATGCACATTAAACTAGTCAGAGGATTTTATTTGAAACGAATTTTGTAGTACAACGGAGCTTAGGCTTCACGCAATTGCATTGCCTGTGTACAAATAATATTTAATTATTTATATTTTATGGCCCCAGAGACCAAGACTGTTTTTTTATAATAAGTTCTTCTCGCGTCGAAAATTAAAAATTGTGTTCATACAGATATGATACAAGTTTAGGTTTATTATACTGCGTGTTTATATAATAGTAGATAAGGTCGATTTCAGTAAATGAAATTTAATTGTCTGACGTAGTCTGCATACTTGTTATCGAGTAAATTAATACGCGTGAAGTGAATTCTGGGCATTACTTGAATTTTTTAAAACTGATGTACACGGCCAAACAATAAGAATCTGTCGGCAATAAAGTCAAGATTTTTTGCTTTTCATAGTTAAGTTCCAAATTTAAAAACCTAATAGTGTTACCTCCTCTTGCTAAAATGGTTTTTTGAAATGAGTTTATATAGTATTTCCTTGAGAAAAATAAAAGTTCATCTATAAATATACCACTAATACGGTGATACGTACTTTATGAGAAAAGTTCCGCTGTGCTGATGTTCTACAAATACGACTTATTTCAATATAAATATCTTCTAGTACAATATTTTACGCCTCCCACGAGAAATTTCTATTTGATTTGCAATATTTCGCTGGGGAGCCACACAATATGTGTAACGTGAAAAATGTACTTTCGATTTTGTTGTTGATTTAAATATGTGAAACGGAATATAGGAATCCAAAATGCTTATAAAATCTTTCAGGATATATATTCCGGAGAATACCGCATATTTTTCTGGTTAATTTTAGGCGTATTTTACTCTCAAACCAAATTATTAGCCCGTTTTTCGAGCAAAAGAAAACATATTTACAGATATAAATACTGGAAGGCCTACAAGAGTTTATTTAGAATTAATTTAAAAAAATGCCTGCAATAAATTACGATGTACATTTACGATGAGATTTGTATTGTATTATTTTACTTTACAAAATAAAGTTTTATAACGGTAACTTACAAATTGTTAAATGGAAGACGATGTTTAATTGCTTAAGATAATAACTTAATAACTAAGTGTTATTTTTGTGCCAGTAAAACAGTTGATTGTTGCAATTTATATTTCATGTAATATTTTGTTCGCAGCCCGTAGCAGAAGAACCTTTCCGGTTCACGATGGAGCTGGACGATCTACCCAAGGAAACCCTGAAGAGCCTCATCTTCGAAGAGACTCTGCTTTTCTATCAAATTCAGAACTCGTAAACTGACAATGGTAACAATTGCTAAACGTTTTTATCGTTTTATTGCAATGACGGGCATCAGCTGCAATCCACAGATATCATATCTAATCAATCCACGATTACCAGAATTGAATAATTCTCCGACTTAACGTCACGTGTGTTAATAATGAATTCTTTATTTTTATTGCGTGGTGCTGACAGCTAAGGCGAGTCTAAAATAGCTAATTTAATACTATAATTTGATTGGTAACATTTAATTACAAATTAGAACCAATTGCGAATTAATAAATTGGTTGAATTTTAATACAAAAATATTGCTGGCTTCTCATGCCTATAATTGAAATTTTACTTGAAAATGTCAGTGTCATTATTATTAAGGTTAAACGAATTGTTTTGTCTTCTGGAATGACTTGGAAATTGTTCTGTTTAACGTAGGTATTATAGTAGACGTATCTAGATAGGATTTTTCTGAAATTTATCAAAGTTAATACCTAGTCGTACTTTAGAGGTTCGAGTGACGACGAAGTATTTTTCAGTATTACATCATAACGTATTGAGACTAACTTTATTGAAGGTTTTAAATCGATATGAGAGGTTATTACATGAATGCATTGTTTTGGTCTTCGTTAAAAAACTTGTGTTATATTGTCTTCCCGCCTCTCGTTTGCGCACAATATGAAATTTAGAATAACATTCATATCAATTTTATTGTACTTCATTTCTTTGTTACGTGCGTAGGTTACAAGTTTTTCAACGAATGCTTATTGTGATGGATTGTGATTCGTCAACACGTACGGGAACATTGTAATTTTTAAAAATGGATTTAAGACGTTTATGAACTTCGCGTTGGGTCTCGAAAAATATTACTCCGCATAGAAGAGATTACTAAAATACTCAAAAACGCCAATACATGATAATGCGGATATTACATAATATCCGTATCGGTTGACGAATCACATGGATTCTTATATTGTTACTCTACTCTACCAGATGTGAATTATCGAAGTTTTGGATATCGATAATGAATATTTACTAAGAAAGTTGTTGAAAAAGGGAGCATTAGTCTTGATAGTTTGATATTGTGAAACGTTTAACTTTTGTCTTATGCCCACTCATGGGATTTAATGTTGTGATTCCGATTACGATGTTTATTAGCTTCTTGTCAACGTTAGTCTGCGAACATTATATATTCAGGAACTTAGTCCGCTAGTTTGGAAAATGTCAGGTAGCGCCATCCATGTTTGCTGTCAATGTCAAACATTAACACTTGTCAACTTCACCTAACACGATCTTACGACTACCATACTTCCAACATTGTCTTTGAATTTTCGTAATCGCATTTCCGAATCCCGAATCGTCAAGTATTGATGTAGTCTTGCTTTTAAAGGTCGAAGTAAGTCTACGAAACTATATTGTCGCGCTATCTGTACTAAATATTAATAAGAAATATTTATTCAGTATTTTCATGTGATGCAGACAACGTTGTAAATTCGCATTGTTTGTGATTTAAACCATTTTACTCTATACGTTACTAAATGTGTACTTTTTAACACCAATTAGCGACACAATTTTATAGTTCAAAATTGTGCAGTTAATTAGTTTAAGCTTCTCGACTTGTAGATCCCGTACCCCGATTTTGACGACAAATTTTTGGCACGATAGAAGTCGTATTTCAAAATGGCTGTCATTTCTTGACAGCTGAAGTTTCACTTGTTAAATATTTGTATCGTAATTTAAATTATTTTTCGAAATAAAAGTTCTAGGCTAATTAGTGGACATAAGAATTTTTTCCTTCATAGTCACTTGCGCTACGTGAATAATTACTAACAGTATGAGATGACTACAGATATCACGTATGTATTGTTAAAATATGAGTGTTGCCATATTTTCTTAAGTCATTATGTACAAATTGGATATTGTAAGATCATTTGTTATCTGTCAACAGTTGAATTGAATATTACGAAAATAAAATTAAAACAAGATCTGGTGTTTTTATTTTGTACCCGAACTATAAGTGAATGTTTGGTATGGATATGAAATAATTCAGTAAGAAATTGCTGGTAATTTTCAATACAAATGGTACTATTATTTAGCTCTGAACACAACTCGAATGATGTAACGAGCGGTAATATGTTAGTGTTGTGTTAGGTGTTCGAGAAATAATGTGGAACACACGAACACTATTGTAAGTATATGGTTGGAGCAAATTCCTGATTTAGAATACTATTAAATTTAGTATTTGTAAGGATAGAAGTATAGTAAATTGCTCTACTATTTTAGATTAGCCTTTTACGGCTTCTAAGCCGATTGGTTTGTGTTCTAGAAACTAAACCTCAAAATTGAATCTCTATAATTCTAAAACGATCTGAAAACCTGCCATTGAAGAGAAAATCGTCCTCGTGATACATCTCTGGTATAGGGTAGAAAGAGAAACTACACTGACGGACTCATAAACTGCATCAAAGTAAAAAAACTACTTTGAAATAAATATTTTAACCAAGTATGCAAACTTTCTACACAGATTTAAATTGAAACGTCTAGATTGGTTCGTTAACTTTAAAAGTTAACTTTTAGCCGACAAGGTTTATCATTGGCCGTGAAACAGATGTATTCTTACTATTCATAACATAATTTTATTCTGTAAGATGTTAGTAATTTGAATTCATTGTTATTATTAAATGTTTAACACTAACGTTACTAGATATTAAGGTATAAACATTAAATGATAGTGGAGACGGCGCAATATTAATTTGCCGCTAGCAATGTTGTAGCGTTAATTAACACTGAATTGGTAATTACAAGAAAATGTCTAAAACAAACGATACAGTCAGTGCCCTCTTTGTCATTTTGATGCAAGACATATCAGAGACGTTTTTACCGCGATTTTCTCTATGGAAACTTAAAACGTATGAATATCTTAATTTAAGTTATATGTGTTTTAAGCCTTTATATGTTTTAAACTCTAAATATTATAGTTGGTGGACTCAGTTTCTGCACTTAGACTCATAATCGGTCCGTTGTAGTCAAATATTATGGACATTTATAATAATAAACTCACGTCAAATAAAGCTGTCAAAAGTTTGGCAGCTGTCATTTATAGAACATACTTACCTGTCTACTTATTGTATATAAAAGAAAACATCACAAATTCTGATAAATAAACTACAGAATTAGTTTATTGGTATTATTTAAATTTATATGCCGTTATAACAATAAAAATAAATACTTTATTTGCCATAAAAGCCACGTACCACACGTGGATATATTTTTTGCATGTTTGAGACTCTTAATTCAGACCTATTAATAATAAAAGTAATGGAAACAAAGAAAAAAGAATAATGAAAGTAACAGATAATCGGACATAGTAAATTGACATTCATTATATATTGTATTGTGTAGCTAGGGCAAATTTCCTTTGAAGGAAATATCCTTCGATTTGATATCTGATGAAAAATTACGACTACTATACGCTTGACTATTTATAACCGAATTGTATGAAGATCTACAAAGTCATCTGATAAGCTTTATATTTCTATGATATCACGAACAATAGTCTTAGTTTCTTCACATTATTGTAAATTCACAAAGGTATTATTTTTATTCTATGAAAAATGCGAAGTACAATACACAATATTGTTAAGTTGAAAGTTCAATCATTTTAGTTTACCATAAATCATTAAAAATTATCCTGCCTGTATACCACAGACTTAGGGTCTGTTTCACAATGTACGGATAAGTTCTACATAAGTTCCAAATTAGCTATTTATTACTTATTGGTAGGATAAACACTATCGTTGCGTTTCACGACTGTCAGATAGCGCTATTCGTTACATAAAGTACATCATAAGTTATGAGTCCGATGAATGTCAAATAGCACAATTTATCTTCCAAATAATTTATGTGTTGCATAGCTATTTGGTACTTTATCCATACATTGTGAAACAGACCCTAAGTATATAAGTCACGATATAATATACTATCAAACTGAGACGGAGAATTTACAAAAACACTATTTATCTATCTTTTTTAAATACTTAAATAATATTATCAATCATTGTCATACCTATATTCAAGACGTTGAATTACTAGTTTAATACCTATAATAGGATTTATATTGCTTAAAACTGTATAAGACATAGAAATATATTTCTAATATTAATACAGTTCGGCCCACAGAGGGATCTCTTTTCTCCTAAATCGAACTAGAAAACTTTGAATTAAATTATATCAAAAGCAGGCAGTTGGCCCATATGATAAATTGTTTAGGAGCTTTGGCTGTTTGGCGTTATCCATCTTAAATGCCAAGAACTGCTGAAGAATGAAAGATTAATAGTTTACGCCACCTAATCTACCGTGCCAATATTTTTGTAAGATTGGTGACATTTGTGGCGGTCTTCGATTTTCAAGAAATAAATTTAACAATATATAATGCAATACATACAATTAAAAAGATAGATAATAAGAATAAAAAGCGATACATCTTGAATGTTAATGATTATGATCATTTAAATATTCTACTCAAATATTTACGATGTTTTTTGTCGTTTCTCTGTTTATGTTCATTTAATAATTTGCATATACTTTAACTTCAGCTCCTGTTGGAGGGGCAAGTAGCTCCCTCCAACAAACGCCAATGAGCAAAGTAATGATAAAATCGTTAAGAAAAATAAAATTTATTTCAGATATTTACAATATTATTTATAAAGTTACAGTTAAGTAATAGTGTTATTAACAATTTTATCTTAGAATTGAACGTTTTATCTTAAAGACTCATAACGTTGGGAAGGCTATGGGCAAACTTTGTACTTTTCTTCAAGCGATGTCCTATCTATAAAACATATGTTTATTATCTGACTTATTATCTTAGTTACGTACTTAAGTCATACGTGGTTCAGCTACCAGTGGTCAGTCAGGTTATTTAGGAAGGTTTGGAAAAATAGAAAAATTATTGAAGCGTCCGGTAATAGGTAACAATTTTATATAAAACTCTATTCTATTATTGGCATTGGTTCCCACTTTTTA